CATTGTGTAACATTCCCAGTTATAAAACTTGTTACTGATGTTTCTTTCTGTAATCCCACAGGAAGTCAGAATTGAGTCATATTCAAATCCTAATGATTTCCAATCATACGGTAAACAAGTTCCCAAAAAATTGCTAGCTCCGGCGTTTATAAGTCATGGATAAGCCAAATTCTCCGAATAAATAACTACCCATCGTGCTGAACGTCAAAATCCATGATTGCCTGATGTCATTTGCTAGGAACACGGTGCCTTTACACATTTGCATCCAGGTGATCCGACGGCAACTCCAAACCTTCGTCCACCTTTCGTCATTAATCGCGACACTGGGAGTATTCGTGAATCCATCTGCAAACTGATTTTAACAATTCTTACCCCAGTGGGGTTTTAGTTCTTTTTTTCGGAGCCTATGTCACTCTCGGTTCCCTTTGAGTCTGGGACCGACTTCACACAGGCCAATTTTAATGCTCCCCATCCGAAAGGTGGCCAAAAACAGGTCACGGCGCGCTTGAGGGGCCTAGATGATGCCAACGGGGACCTGATTTTGTCTATTTATAGCACGTGAATGTCCATAATTGTTTACCTAGATTCGGTATTGCCATCTTTCAGCTATTAACAGTTCTATACTCAAATTTACTGGACGCTACCTTGAAGCCTCTATGGACTCTTTTATCAGCCCTTTTTGGCAAAACTTTGTGCCGAGGCAGCCAGGAGCAGTTAAGTGTAGACAAATCAAAACGTGGTATGTTTTAAGTGGTAGTATTTTGTTATGTCCCTGCTTCCTTTTTACTTTAATAACGTTTAAATTCTGAGCAATGATTTGGTGTTGCCCAAATCTGTTACGCTGTTACTGTTCCCAGGTCCTCTGTTTGGTGAATCCATCTGGAATAGCATTGTTTTTAACAACCTGCAGTTGGAGGAATACGATCAGGAGAAATACCCCTGTTCACCACTCCTCATGGCTTTTTTAGCTGAGGTACGTCTTCGTTTGTACTGGGAGCGGATTATTTTTCTGAATCTACTAGGAACAGAACATTCATATCGCGATTTAGGTTTAAAACGCCTAATTTATAATCAGGTAACACGGGTTAACTAGTACAGGTACGTGGTCGAATAGTGGAGTGTGGTACGGGTGTGGGAAATGTTCAAGATAAATCCTTCTGACTGATTGTCAGCCCCAAAGTATTTATGACAGCTTCTTTTAGTTTTCTCGTAGTCCTTTCCTCAAAATGGTGGGTATCTACAACAGAACCTAATTTGGTCCAATTCATAACCCCGGTTCTCATTTTCTGAGGCCGTGGTCGCGTCTAACAGGGATCGCGTGCTGAATTGAGGGTACCATGCGCAGGTGCGCGTCCGTCCCTACATTTGGCCGGCCTTTTGCACACGGCCACGATCACGTGAGCGCGAAGTCACGTGACAGTCTTTGGTTTGGGGACCTCCGCATGACTCCAAACCACGGCGACCTTCTAGACTGTAGTTCCAACCGACTTCCCCCCTAAACGCATGAGTTATGCACGCTTCTCTAGCACTCAGTGATGGACAGCGAAATCAAAGAGACTTCGCCCAGATCTAGCTCTCCTAAATGTAATGGGACAGAATGAATTGGCGTGCACCATTTCCCACACTGTCGTCTCATCGCCTTCGCGTTGAGGCGACAGCGGAAGCCCGATTTTCCAATCGCGTGGGTTTGCTTCCACCACCGCTACTTTTGCTACGTGGACGAGATTGCCTTTAGTGACACATTGCAGTTCCTTCACATTAATTTGGTACACTTTGAATATTTAGAGATAACAAGCTGGTTCCGATGCAGCATCTTACGCCTTCCACTTACCACCCATCTTGCATCCTCACGCATTGTTAATACGTGGGCGAAAATAGGGAACCAAGGTTAGCCTCACTGGGTACAATCTACACGACACCTGCTTCTACACTTAGGGGCTAGATGTCTGGTCAGATTCACTGCTCCATAAATCTTTTTAACAGACGAAGTAATTCTATCACCCTTCCTCTTCGTGCATATTCAAAATTTGACGTCTCGTCAGCCAGAGTTTTGTGCACAAAAAAAACGAACTCCTTACTTCGCTCACACTTTGTGAAGCATTCGTTGGTATCTTGACCTTAAAATGCTGTACAGAGCTTATCATTCTCACTTTTAATTTTTACGCTAAATAGGTCATGTTTTGATGCTTCATTTTCGTTTTTTTAATCATATTTACTGTGGATATGGGGAAACTGCTTTGTCGACACTTATCAATTCAGAGTTACGAAACTTTACTGGGAATAACCGTATGATCAAAATTCATGTTTGCCCCCCTCATTGCCTCGAAAAGGCATCTCGATTGAGCTCCGACTGGCTGTTGATGCAACCTCGTAGCGACTTAGGGGGCACATGCAATAACAGACACACGACCAACTGTAGGCATTTCTAAAAACCACACTTCCTATTCTACAACTTTAAATTTTGCTCTAGCTTTTATCAAACACGCCAAGCCTTACTGTCACCAGACTTGATGAGAAGTTTCTCCAGGAAATTGTGATCTTCTACGCTCAGCAACCAGCTATTCCGATTCCCCATGATGATCCGCTCACCTATTTGCAGAGGATTGTGGACCAGGTAAGATAAAAGCGAATAAATACAAGACCCACCCTTTTTGCAACCCCGATTACGGTCGATCCTGATGACTTGCCTGTAATTCCAGTGCACCCCTGAAGCACTTCGGCAGTTTCCGTGTCAGATTTGGCTTTAGAGTTGTGCAATAATCTGACAAAAGTGTGACTTCCAGAACTTAGTAGGTACAGTTAAAGTATAAGGTACGTAGGTGATCCTTTTAAATTTATCTGCTGATAGTTATTTGGAAAAAAAAGCTGCGAGTCATATTTCGTGTTGCTACTTCAGTTGTACAAGGGTAAAATTAACCACCTGTAATACTGCTTATGATGTGTTATTTGTACGTAATTGGTAATGCTAGCAACACATATTGACTGTGTGGGTGCGTTCACAGCCCTACATCTGCCCCACATTTGTGGGCTACTACGCATCCCCAAGGCCCTGTCATTAAGGCGGAAGCCTCGTCGTCACACAGTGGACTTGCGTGCCTGCAGGTCTTCTTTTGAATCGACTTTCTTAAGGTGGGTTTCGCCACGATGTGACACGAAGCACCCAGGGAGAAATAAGATCAAAGGCAATGAAAAGTCAACCGTTTACTGGGCCGCTACACCCATGCCCGTGTTTAAAACCCACGGGAATATGGAGGAATGACTTTGGAATGATGTGATTACTGAATGTGATAATTACGAGAGTCGGTGCGAATGATTAGTAATCATGTAGAACGGGGAATACAAGCGATAATTATGGACAAATTTACCTCACAGTTCTCTAAGGGTGCTTTTCTACGATGAATCGTTTGAAATGCGATCCTCAATATAAAAAAACATTTAGCACTGGCGCCCGTCAAGAAAATTTGGCTGTTTCTAAGTGACGGTGCCTTTAATGCATTACTGACACAAGTGCTTCAAGGTATATCTTTGTGGACGTGTTCCAATGGAGGTGTTCCATTGGCACCCACTAGCCCCTGTTGATAGTGAGGTTTGACGACTTCGAAATGTTGACAAATGCCTTAGTAAGTAACCCTTACATACAAATTGTTATATTGTAAGCAATAGGATGGTTTGTCAAACTGTCCAATTTCCTTAGCTGTTGTTTATTCCTACGTACCTTCAGCTCTCAACGAATGATGCGGTATTATTTCTCTCCAATATGGCAAAACGTTGTCTCCGCCACAAACTCCAGATGGAATGCTTTGCGCCTGGACATTGCACCTCGTTTACTCTTGCTACCTACAAAAAAATTTTGCTTCCGGAACTAAACACAGAATTCTAATAATATTGATGCCTGCGTCATCAAGTCCTTTGTAATAACTTTTTTTGAATAAAATACCTCTTGCCAAAATGTATCGGTTTCAGGTCACAGGTTCCAAAATCTAATGAAGATTGATGTCCAAAAGCGTAACCAAAGGCCCCTACCTGTCCAAGCACCGACCGCTCGATCGAAGAACGAGCCAGCGATGCCCCTGACAAACAGTATACTTTAGAAATAACTCGTTGGCCGCGCTCATCACTAACCGCACTGTATTCCATAGTACCATTGGCGGAATACTGTTGCCTGTTTTAAAGCTCACCGTGTGTGGCTGCTCTGCGAATGTACACTCGGACGCATGTAGCGCGACCTGCTCCAGCAGTATTATAAACGAAGTTTGAGTGACCTACAGTCTCTGTTTCACTTAAAGACAAATTGCCTTTATTTAATCTCAATATTTCATCAGAACAAAGATTGACGTGAATCCCAATAGTGGATAGCGCAAAGCCCTAGGGTTAAAATTCCAAAGCCCACACACACACACATTTAGGAGATGGCAAGGCATTTTTAATGGAAAATTTTATAAGTTGTAGGTAGTACAGGTAGATCCAGAAAAAAATACATGCACGAGAGCACAAGTTGTTGCGGGATTTGAATAGGGAGAAAAACATCTGTGTCGGTTGTCTCACTATTGACTGTTTCGGAGATACGATATACACACGTCAAGTTAACGTCGAATTGTGGATGAGTAAATTCAAGGGCGAAGATTACACAGAGTACAGCGAAGGTATTCATTCAGCTAGATCTCTGTAGGTCCGACAAACGCGGGCCCCCTACAGACTCGGATGTCTCCGTACGGCGCATCCTGGAAGAGCCGCACACAGCCCTGTTTTCGGAGGAGAAGCATTGTGTAAAACTTGGATGCCGCCTACAACAAACAAGTCATGTGAAAATATCCTGAGAATGTGGGCTGAGGGAACACACACGCACACACCTTGGGATCAAGAACAAGTCTTCTAAATTCCAGCCACCGAACCTTTTCAGAATACTGACGAAAAAGCTACAAAAAGCTATTCACAAAAAAAACGCCTTATCAAAGACGGACTACCGTTTGTTACAAATTTGTTACGTCCAGCGATAGGTTAGAGCCGGAAACACACCAGTGACATGAGATGATCGCAATTGTACATCAGTGGCGTTGAGTTTAAATTGACAGAAAAGATTGAAGTAATGTTCTGGAAACGACGAGTTTGTCACATGGGTAGTTGCAGTTTTAAAAAAGCCTAGTGAAATCGCACAACAGGAAAGCGCCCCCGGTAAAAGTAAGCAGGTCCACTAACATACCTGTTTCTTGGTGTTCCCCTCGCACATTGCCAGTAACGATATGCCCCTTTCGCCCCAGCCATGCTGGGCAGTGTGCGCTCGCAGCCGGCGGAGCATGTCCTTAGAGCGTTTTTCGAGACGACGTTCCTCCTCAACCTCCTCCTCCATGGTCTCCTCTTTTCCGCCAGTTCCGACTGTGCCAACAGATGGAATCGCCGGTATGGTGTCCTCATCGTCCCGCAAGTCGGCGGGAAACTCAGAGAGGCTCATTTGGTGGTCTCGTGGGACGCGACCGCTGCGGCCACCCGCTACGTCAAAGTCGTGTTCAAGAAGAATGCCCTATTTGATTTCAACGGCAGGAGTTACGAATTTCAATGTGGAAACGAAAAAAAAAACAAATTTATTCATTCGTTAAGTATGGCTAGATGGAACTGCTGTGGTCGTCCATGTTGCATTGGTCGGTATCCATAAGACGTATCGACTTCGCATAAGAAATCTTAAAGCTTATTCAAGGCGTCATGGCACTTTGCAGCGAACATGCTTGCGAATCAGATTGAAAATTAACTTACTAAGTAACGCGAATATGATGTCAAAGACTAGAAATACCAAGTTGGACCACGTGCCTTCCGAAAACAGACAAATCATCAATGTCCCTTTCGCTCAAATTTACCAAAACTTTGGGAGCCTTTTCAATGCACGCGTTTTGGGAGCTTGTTTGTGTTCGAGTAACACATGAACAGAATCAAACACATACATGTGAGGCCTCTGATAGGACCGACGGAGGAGCGAGATAATGGGGATCGAGAGGGAAGCCGTTGTCATCATCCATATCATCGTCACTGGCCACTGGGTGTGCATTGTGGTGATCAGGAATATCGGTTGGGCGAGTCGATGCTGCCAGAAAGGGGTCGTGCAGATTGGTGAGAGTGTTGTCACCTAAGGCCCAAAAATCGCTTGTATTACTGATGCCAAGTCGGCTTCAAAGGCAAAACAAAAAACTTGTTTAACGGAAGATCCACCTGATAACAGTCCACATGCAAGTCTTATTGAAACCTACCGGAACTAGGATAGGTAGAATTTGATCGTCTAAGGTCTGCAACCAAACGCCGGTGTGTAATAGACACGTGAATATGCCATTACTTGGAGTAGCAGTTAAGGGCGAAGTATGATTGCCAATGACTGGGCACAAGAGAGCTTGAAAATGTGCAGTAAAAATTTGAAGAAAAAAAGTGGTCGAGGGAATCGACAGACTTGGCATGTTCAGGCACGCCCAATTTGAAA